CGGCCACTGTGGATGGAAAGCCTCCCCTCCGCTCTCTCTCTTATTATTTTAGTTTTTTTAAATCCCAAAGGGTTGCCCTGTCCCCTTCGGAGTGAGTCTGCCAGACGGACCTGCCTTTTTTTTTTTTTTTTTAGTGTCCTTTTAGCAGATAAAGAGAAAAACCTTATCTTTTGTTCCTCAGAGTATTTATTGTGTTTTAGTTTGTGTCAAACCCTGTCCACTGAACAAAAAAACGCTGTATGTTTTGTTTGTACAAGTCTAGAGCTTCATGCTTTCCTGATTAAATCTTAGGTAGTAAAGTAGTGTGATTCCTCTTCTTCGAACTACTTCATTATTTCTTTTGATTTTTGTGGTTTGGGGGGGCAAAAACAACAACAGTGATTTAATTTATTGTACTTGCTTTGATCTTTCTCGTCTCGCCTCTCGTTCGGCGCTGGGGGGAGTTTGGTACTCGATCCTTCTGTGAGCGGTGTGTTTGAGCCCACAGACGCACACGTGGACGTTGTTTGGCGGGGTTTTTGATCCTCGTCACCACAGCTCCCGTCCGCTTTCGCTCACTTTCACGCTCCTGCATCGATTCGCTTCTCGCTAAAAACCGCGGTGTCCTCGAGCCGGACAGCGTCCCTCCGACCAGAGGGGCGCACCGTGGATTAGGATTAATGTGGAGCCTGAAGTCTTCATCGTGGCAAAGATGGTTTCTTTTAACCGAGCTGGATCCCGCCGGGCGGTACCTTCTGCTGAACCCGGTCCGAGCAGGTCATGTCAGTGTTTTGGCTTAAAATCATCAGGAAGCGCCACATTTTCCTCACTGTCTACCTGAAAACGCCATTCATGTTTTATATATGCAACCTGTAGAGCCCAGTTACAGATGTGAAGCTACAGCAACATAAACTCTGCTGCAATGAATTTGAATGTGTTCATTTGGTGATTAAGGTTTTTTTTTAATTACACTGCGGGAAGTGAAGACGATTAGAAAATTCTTCAGGAATGTTCGATTGGCCACGAAATGAAAGTGATTCCCACGTCTCCTGCAGTATCCTCTCACGTTTCACACCTCTAATCTCTGGCCACATCAAATTCTTAATCAAATATAGTCTTTGAGTTAATTGGTCCATTTCATTTTGCAAAAGAAGAGTCAGACTATATGTCTGTATGCTTTATGTGCGCCTGAAGCAGAGATCCTGGAGAAAGAAAGCCTGGATATGTTGACCTTGCTTCCTCAGGCTGGAAATACTGGTCTTCTTTATGCAACTCAGATAGTTCTTGCTTTCTTTGCACAGGTCTTTAATGTTTAAAGGAACAGGTAGAGGGTCAGACATCTGTGGGTGAAAGCTGCTACAAGTTTTGTGCAATCAGTATTGTTTTTCACCCCCCACAGCGTTTGCACAATAGTAGCAAACTTTAATCGCTCCCTCCATCGATCTCCCCGCGTTTAGTCTTTTTGTTTTTTCAGCCCAGACCGGAGCAAACCCGGGTACATGCTGACAGTCCAGGTGGAAGTGTGGTTACTCTGAGCAGTCACGCGATTCAGCGTTAACCTGAGAAAAACTCGCTGTGAGAGGTCTGACAGCAGCCTGTGCGTGAGAGTTGTTTACAGAAGCAGCACAAACACAACATTCAGCCGATATTTCCCTTTTTGTTGGTTCTCTTTTCCCTAAACGATACCTCATCTTTGTAAGACATGTTTAGATTATAGGTGAGACTAAACAATTTTCGTATTTTCATTTCACAGAACCCAGGTAGTCGGTTTTATTTGTAAAACCCGGTGATGCTGCTGCGCTCGAGTGTGGCGATGAGTTTCATCTCGGCTCTCGCAGCGGATTCTGCTGGAAACAAATACCGCTGTGTGTGTGTGTGTGTGTGTGTGAGAAAAATACGAATGTGTGTTTTCGGTTTTCGTCCTCCGTTACCTCTCCCTCTCTGTTCCTCAGCCATCTCTAACATGTACTTTGGCAGCTGTCTGCTCTCAGCCTGCTTGCCTGTAAACTGGAATGAAAGGTTGAGCCGTGAAGCCGCAGACCTGCTCGAACCTTATCTCAAGTTTCTGGAAAAAACAAGACAAAAGAAACAAAATAAGAAATAGAAAGGGAGCCTTCCTGAAGTGTGGTTTAAAAAAGAAACTGGTTGAATCTTCGCCTGTGAAACAATTCACTTTGTGCTCATGCCTCCTTTTCAAACAGCTGAATCATCCTTGTAGAGGTGGGATTAAGAAGAGCCTGGAAACTGCTTTCCTCTTCACTCTTTTCTTTCTTCCCTCCTCCTCCTTAATCTCTCCCGTGTTGCATCCCTCTCCCAAAATTGGCCTAACACACTTCAGTCATTTCTGCAGAGCCCACGCAACATCCACAGTTCTCTCCTCATTGTTTTCCCCAGCTGCCTCTCTTTGGATCATTTTACATGGATCCCACTCTCTGCACGGCCTGGAGGCGAGTGACACATCCGTGCAGAATACCGTGGGTACAGTATCAAACAGCCTGTTTTCCACAGAAGGACAAACTGAGGCTAGTCATGGGAGGGCCGGCGATTTTTTTTAACTTTTGCTTTTATTGACAAACGCGCCGCAGGCCCACATCTGTGAGTGTGCACTCTGGAAGAAGTGAAGCTTTTGTTTTTGGCAGCAGAATTAAAAGTGCCACCAAAAAAAAATACAAAAAACTCGTCATGAGACGAGAAAACGTGCGGTGAGAGGTCGATGACGGAGGATTCGAGCCGTCTGTGTTCGACGTGTTTTTGTTGACACGTAATCGGTACTGTCTGTGTATCCAAGGTTACTGAGCTGAAGTAGTGTGGAGGGGCGCGGGGAGGGCTCGGGGTGTATTTTTGTAAAGATAACGAAGAAGAGACAGCACTTTGTAGAAGGCTGATTGGCGGGTAGTCCTACTGAGAGAGAAAGATGAGGCATAAAGCATTGTTCAGATGTTCTTCTTTTTAATTTATCTTTTTTAAATTTTGTTTGAAAATAAGACACCTGTAGGGATCAAGAATAAAAAAGAACTAACTACACAGTGCCACTTGCTAATTTTGTGTAAATAGTACTAGAACATGTAAATATAATGTTGTATATGAAAAAAAAACTTTAAAATAAAAGGGAAAATCATTTGTGAGCAGAAAGATTTTGTTTCTATTTTTATTTTTTTCTCTCCTTTGGATGATTCAAATGTGACACAAATGGTGTGTATTTCAACAATGCCCTTTCCAACTTTTTTTTTCTTTCTCATTTTATTTGAAAGGTAATCTATAACAGCGAGTGTTATATATAATGAACCACAACGTCATGAGAAATGTTTTACCGTATTATACCCTTGGTTAACTTCTACCTGTGTCATAAAATCCTTTGTCCTCAGTTGCTTGTTCCTCTCTGGTATCTTGGTTTTTACAGTGCTTTGGACATGTCTATAAGCTTGATTATGAACAATTAAAGCTTGTCTGTCAAAGCATGGAGACGTGGCTTCGGATCACCTTGCTTTTCCACACTGTAAAAGTGAGGTTGGGCAACGTTAGAGCGACTGGAGGCTGAAGATCTCGACTAGAATTATTTGGTGCCGTTTTAAGCGTAGAGTGAAGCCATCAGTCACACAAGGGAGACACAGTGCTGATGCTGTTAGTTGTAGCTGGAGAAAATGATGTTGGACCCCAAATGCACACAGTGTTAATATAGATAGACTTTCTGGGGTATAGCACCTGCCTCCATCTCCTCCTATCCCAGCATCCTCCTCTGTCACACCAACCCTCTGCATGTCCTCTTTCACTACATCCACAAATCTTCTCTGAGGTCTTTCTCTCTTCCTCCTGCCTGGCAGCTCCATCTTCATCATCCTTTGTCCAACATATCCACTGTCCCTCCTCTGCACGTGCCCTGACCATCTGTACTCATTTCTTATCCAACAGAAGGTCTTAGCATCTTCATCTTTGCCTCCTCGCCTGCATCACTGCTGATCTCGCTGCTTTCTCTTTCACTCTCGCTGCCACCAATCCACTTCTGTCACTCACAGTTTTCTGGGGTATAAAAATCTGTTTGGGTTCCAGATGCAAACATGTGGTCAGTGTGCTGCATTAGGATGCAGTGCAGCAGTGCATGTGCACAATTTCAAAGGCACACATGGTGCATATGCACTTAGTTTAGTGATATTCACCCATTTTTAACGTGCAGGGGAATCGGATTTGAGTGGCAAAGCTGTAAAACTTTGAACATTAATGTGCAAAAATCTGAAGACAGCTGAATCTTTTCAGATCTTAATCACAATAATATAGAAATGAATCAGGATAAGGCATTGTTTTAGCATTTTAAAGGCCTTTTGACAGAAGTCTGCCTGTGTACCTGGCCACAAAACCTCAAAGATGGGCTAAATTTAAAGGCACAGCTGTATTCATATGTGCAGGAAACAAAACTCTAATTTCAAATGAAACAGCATCAGTTTCTCAGAGGAGATGTTTGCTTTCCAAGTGCCTCTTTAGGTCTAGGGGCCAAGAAAGTTAAACCTATTTACTTCCAGAGTAATTTCTCGTGATAGTTTTCTTTTTCTTAAAAAGGTCATTTCCCGTTTTTCCACAGCGTTCATTACTTTCTGTCTAGATATAGTAATAATGTTTGGGCACACCAATTCCCTTAAATGAACCAGCAGTTCCTACAGCAACCAGTAGGGGGTGCTGCTGTTAAACAGTGGCCATACTTTATAATTCGAGTTCAGAAAAATTAAATGAGTGGTTAAATCCTTAAGCGCTGCAGCTTTCCAAAAGCATGCAAGCTGTTGCGAGTTACACGTTTACACATATTTGATTTTACGTGTACCAGCTCAGCAGCCCCTTTCTCTTCTCTCATAAATAAATGAAGTAGAAACTGAAATAAAGTAAATATAAATTGCAAAGAAAATGACCGCTTAATGACTTTTTTTGTTTGTTTGTTCGTTCGTTCGTTCCAAGTGAGTAGAAAAGTTTAAAAAAAGAAAAGGTGTGTCGCTTTAAAAATGCTAATCGAGTCCCTTTCTTCGGGATTTGTCGTGACGTCACTTCCTGAGGAGCGCTTGCCTCCTACTTTTTGTTGGGACCTGGGAGAGAAAATTATCCCGCAGAGGCACCGAGGCGGAATAAAACAAGAAAAAGGAAGATTAGAAAACCAGAAGTCACAAAGTGCGGAAATGTCCGAGGCTTCTGTTTAGCCGACTGCGATGCAGGCGGGCGTCCTTTCACCGTGAATTCCCGCGAGGAGGTTTTTGTAAGTAGCCCATCATTCAGACGTCCTCGGATCCACAAGTGTCTGCTGGAGCAAGTGTACGTCGGCTCTGGGCGCTAAACGCGGCGTTCGTTTTGCTGTGCGGGGCGCGCCTGCCCGGTCGGAGTCGTACTTCTTAAGCGCGTTGGTGGCTAACGGTTAGCCCGCGCGGTATAACGAACGCACACCTGTTGCTTTTGCTTACACCAGGTACTTGGGGCCTTAACTGGGTAAGGTTACCGATAAAGCTAGGGCTAATTTGATTAATTAATGTTGATCCAATGGATTTTTTTAAATTATTTTAGGTCTGTTTCGGACCTTTTTTTTTTTTTTAGGAACTTTGGTTTACCGGGTGACCTGAAGTCACAGGAAAAAATAAAATATATTAAAAGTACGCACACTTAAGGTCGATTACCGTTAGCAGCTGTTTCAGACTAAGTTAAAACGTAAACTCTAACTTTGTTTTGTCGTGTTTAACGTTACTTTGCCTTCTTGATGTCAAATAACATCGCACATATTTATTTTCTAGATTTATTGTTATATTAAAAAAAAGCCTTATCGATGAAATCCTCCCATCAGTCTTTATAATCTATTTGGGGATTCTGTTAGATGGAAAGAAAATCATCTGTTTGACACCAGGTACACGGTTACCTGCCGTCAGTAATTACAGCCCCACCTTATCAGTTCTGTTTTCTTGACTAAATGAGCAGCATAACTTCATACAAAGTGACATAAGCTGTATTTGAATATCAGATTTTTGACAGCTTAGCATAAAATGTGTCACCTGTGCAGCTGTACACCCTAACCAGAGGACACACCTGTTCAGTCACAGCTAAAAACCACTCAGGAGGCATCCTAGTCAGATGTCTGAAACACCTCAGCTGACTCCTTTCAGGTTGGAAGAGCAGTCATTCTACTTTGAGCTCCTCCCAACCCTGAAGTGACAGAGTTCCTCACCCGATCTCTACGGGAGAGCCCAAGCACCGATCAGAGGAAGCTCATTTCCACTGATTCTACCTGCCATCTCATTCTTTCAACAGCTACTGGAAGTTGTGGCCTTAGGGTGAGGTGTACGAACGTAGGTTGAGAGTGGGCACGCCACCGTGGTTAGGCTGACGGCCATGGCTCGACTACAGACCAACTGCACACAAAACTAATACATTTTTACCTTAATTATTAAAAAAAAAAAATCTATACACTCTTTGATTTCAGGTGCGTACAGGTGCCCTTCCTCTCCCCCCGTCATGTTAAGTTTCCTGCGCAGGACGCTGGGGCGACGCTCCATCCGGAAACATGCAGAGAAAGCCCGGCTACGAGAAGCCCAGCGGGCCACAACGCACATCCCTGCAGCTGGGGATGCAACGTCTATCATCACCTGCCGTGTGTCTCTGCTGGATGGGACAGATGTCAGTGTTGATTTACCGGTAAGGAGTTTTTAAAGATACTTCCCATTGTGCCAGGAAAAGTCTGTCAGCTCCACATCGCACTCTCTTTTATAATTATGATCCTCATTAGAGCCTTTACGTCTTAGAGAATTTCGCTCGCTCTGCGCTCAGTCTTCTGTGAAACTATCAGAAACTGGTGGATGTTAAGTTTTGGGAACATATGCAGGCCTTCTCTGGGCTCCAGACCGGCTCCCAGTTTGTGGACTAGTTCAGGTACAGAGTCCTGATTTGTTCATGCAGGTTCCTGTTATTTCTGACCTTTATGATCAATAAAAATATGGTTTAAAAAAAACAAAAAAAATTATGCACCAATGCAAATCCTTACAAAGTAATTAACAACTTAACTGTTTAGATACAGGAAAACTTGCTGCTCTGCTACATGTGCTGCATACAGTGCTGAGTATATTATAAAACAGACTGAGAGCTATTCTGCTGGACAAACTATAATATAACACCATTTCTAAATTACCAAAAGTATATTTTTCTGCATTATTCTTCAGGGATGAGGAAAACTGGCAGCTTACAAGAGAAAATAGACAAATTTCCTGGGGGAAAAGAGCAAATTTACCAAAAAAAGAACTCTGAAAATAAGTGGTCCTATTATTATTAATTTTTTTAATTAAGTCAAGTAATATTTAATTTTTGATATTGAGTCGTATAGAAATTCATAAAACTTTGATCTTCTCGGATTATTGACTCATAAGAAATATTAGAAACAATGTTATAAAACCAACCAACTTTTACAGATGTGACAGAACAAAATAAAACCGTCCTGAACTAACAACACTGGTCACTATGTTGTTGTACACTGTTGAAGATAAGTGTGCGTCTGTGATAGGACAGATATTTAGGTTGATATCAGCGCTCTAAAAATGTACTTAGCAAGGCTGAATAGCACGTTACAAAAATAAAGAATGACCCATTAACCAGCGCGCATGTGAGAGAGTCTTGTTTTTGGACGCGTCCTGATCCTTGCTCATCCTTGAAATCGACACCTTGTTAATAATAGCATCTGAGTGAATCATTCTTTGTGACTAATTGCCTTCAGATGGGCTCTTGACATAAACGGTGTTCTTATGTGGTTATGAGCTGGAAAGTGAAAGCAGTGTACCAGTGACCACAGTGTGCCTGTGTCAGTGGAGCAGTCCTGTTAATCCTATGAAGCGCGTGCTCTCGTGCTCCTGATCACCTGTAATTCCATGATCCTCTCTGGAGAACACGCTCGGTCACATGACATGCTGGTCACCACTCCAGAACTCACTCCTCCCCTTTTTTCTCTTTATTCGTTTCACTTTATTGCCTCACAGACAAGCGCCTTGCTGCACAGTGATAGTGATTGCACTTCTAGGACAGTTTCCCCCTCGTGTGATTATTATTTTCCTGTCACTTCATGTTCTTCCTCCCGTGAGCCAAAACTCCAGTGAAGCCAGAAGCTTATCTTGAAAGCTGTCTTGTATAAATTCCAAGGAAAATGTGCTCGGGAGAAATCCTCCTCACTGTTACTGCCTGATTTCGCTCTCCCCGTTGTAGATGTTGTGGCTCAAACTGCCTGCTGCCAGCAGCAGTGCAGACCTCATTACAGGAATTTCTCATTTGCGAGCAGGAATGTGTTTTACTCAGCATATCTCACAGGTGATGTCACACATCTGAGCCCGTCCTCAGCCTGACCTGCCAAATCCTTAACGTGTAATCCCTCCTACCAGCTCAGTATTGTGCACATGAAGAGAGAGTGCCATTGTTTTCTTACTCGGTCCCTTAGAGGAATGTTATCTGCTTGGACGCGCTCTCTTGGCCTCTTGTTTCTGCTGGGGAATTGATGATTACAGGAATGTTACTACTCCAGCCTGTGCTTGCATTCATACATCTAGAAACTCAGACGTTTGGTGTGTGTGGAAAGCTTCTACAAATGCATTCCAGCAGGACCTTTTTCTTTATGTTGGGACTCTTTGTTTTTCCCCTCCCCAAGATATGCTTGTATGTAGCTTCTGCAAACACTCCCACCTTATCTTGGCGCACTCTCAATGATTGGGCAGCAGCAGACACACACTTGTTAACAGCCTTACTCAGTACTCTCCTCACTCGTTTAACTTCAGTTTGCAGTTACGATAATGTCCCCAGTTAGCTGAAATAGTTGTTTTTCAAAACAAGCAGCTCAATCTTGGTCTTGTTTGACTGTCAAACTTTTCTCCAGAAGGTGTTTGACTCGTGCTGTGTTCTTCTTGAACATCCTAATCCCTTTCCTGTCATCTGAGGGTGATTGTTTGGGTCTTCCTCCAGACTTTGTGGTCACACATCCAAATAAACTTGTACTTAAGTGCAGTTGTTTGAACTGATGATCGTGGAATCTGCAGTTGTGCAGAAATGGCTTCAAGGGATCTTCCCAATGTGTAAATGCACAATTCTCATCCTTAGATTTTAGGCTACGTTCACTCTGCAGGTCTTGATGCTCAATTCAGATTTTTTTATTTTTTTGTCTGCTTGTTCACACTACAAATAAAATGCGACAGCAAACGCGCTCTAGTGTGAACGCTCAAAGCGGCGCATGCGCAAAAGAAGACGTCACACACAACGCGCTCTGTTTAGACCCAGAACAACAGTTTGACTGATGCACCTTAATATAAAGACTTGTTTCGGACTTTACGTTTCCCAATTTTGCTTTAAGTTATAAAGTTATTTTGTTATTTACATTTGGCCTAATAATGACCCTTGTTGCTGTTTTAGAGGAGCGCTGCTTCAAAGGATAGCTGCAGATTATACAGTACAAAGAAAATGTTCACGTTTCTCTAGAGCTGGGCGATATGAGATTTTTTCATATCACGATATGTTTTTTTCATTTCAGGCGATAACGATATCTATCACGATATAAGCCAAATAACTATATTTGTAAGATTTAAATGTGCCGTTGCTCACAAGTAAAATGTGAAATAATCAGCAGCTTGTTTTTATTTAAATTATCCCATAATAAGTTCAACAGGGTAGATGTACTTAAGGAACATGAGACTTTTTCAGATAAATAAAGGCAAATATTGCAAACTACACAAAAGGCAGCCGCTAAAGCGTTTAAGTTCCAAAATAGAACAAACGAAACAGACTAAATTGTCAATTCCACTTAGAAACAAAATATTAATTCTAAAAATAAATCTTAGTTTGTTTTACAGAAGAACAGACAAAACTGACTAACTTTTGTCAATATCAAATAAACTGAGAACTAAAAGGAAATTCTCAATCTCTCCTTGTTGTATAGCTGAGCTTTTCAAACAGTTTTAACAGTTACTTTAGTCTGACAAAAGCCGAATGACGAATTAGCGCTTCCAGTCAGAGACTGAGGCTATGTCCACACGTACACGGGTGTTTTTGAAAACGGAGATTTTCCGTTTTCGTTTTAAAAAATAATCCCGTCCACACATAAAGGCAGAAATGAAGGAAAACGCTGCTATGAACATGCCAAAGCAGCAGGTGGCGCTAGATTCTTAACCGTGCAGAAATGTTGGCCAATCAGAAGTCTAGAAGCCTCGGTGGGAAAAAGTAAACAAAGCTGGGGCATAGAAGCAGAACCGAGTCGTATGTGTGGAGGGACAGTAACTGTGTGTATATGTAAGCATGTAAACACTGCAGAGAGTAGAATTAACAGTATTGTAGAAATTCATTTCACCGAAACAATAAGTGGCGCACAGTGTGACGCATGCACCAGTTTATTGTATTTGCAGACTTGCTTTCGGCACAATTTACAGTGCACGCTACTCTGTTTTTTGTCAGACTTGAAATAGCCGAAATACCTTCACACTACGGAACTTCTATGGCTCTTCCGTTCGACAATCTCTCCGGCGTTGGAAGCATCATCTGTTTTCTCTTCGGTCACGCTCGGTTGATTTTTCTAGTCGGCACACTCATTTCCTCCATTACCCGCTGGCTGCTTCCCAAACAAACACACGTGCGGCTTGGCACTTGTGCCGTACGTTACAAGTCACGCGACGTGACGCTGCGGCTGTGATTGGTTCAGCTCTGCGCTACTTAATTTGGATTGGCTGATTTTTTATTTATTTATTTATTTTTAAGAGGACAAGAGCGGCGAGCTCTATCGCGATAGTTTAATTTCTCTATCGAGTAAAAGTTATATCGCGATACATATCGTTATCGTTCTATCGCCCAGCTCTACGTTTCTCCAACGTCGTCTTCTCAACAGTTTCACTGGATGGACAGGAAGCGTTCACGATGCCTTCTCCGGCGCTGATAGTTGGCGTCTGTCTTGTGTCAGTGACGTAAAAGACGGATTTAATGCGACCTGACCATCAAACAGCAGCCGCTTTATAAAACATCAGATATGTATCGGATTCAGGACCACATACGAAAGTGGCCCAGATCGGATTTGAAAATACCGGATTTATGCCGTTCAAACTGTCATAGCATGATCGGATATGGGTCAGAAAAGTTGGATTTGAAGCGCTTTCGCCTGCAGTGTGAACGTAGCCTTAGAGTTCCTTAGACTTTCCTGTTGTTCGGGAAGGTCCAAGGTCAATCTAATGACCACACTCATCGGATTGGTCAGTCCAGTAAGTGCTGTCAAACAAATCCTCTTCATTATGTTGACAAAGAGAAGCTGCCAGTTGTCGTCAGTCACAATATTAACTTCTCATCAACTTAAAAACACTGTAGAAAGTTCAGCACTGCTTATTAATATACATTATTGTGGAATACAGAAAAATAAAAATCTTTGTGTTTTGTTTATTTAAGATGTATGCTGTACAATAATTTCACCCAGAGAATGAACAGTTAAAAGAAATGATTGTAGCCTCTGTAAACGTCTGGTCACAGCTGTAGTGGATGACTCTGGCAGCTTTGCTAGCAATCCAGCTTAGCCTTCTGTGGTACTCGTGACACAGATCTGCTGATGATTAATTTTCAGAGTCAATTTTTTTTTTAATCATCAATTTTTATCATTGAAGTTGGAACATTTGTTTACAAAGCAAGCACAGACGCAGGCTATCAGTGTGTTAGTCCCAGCCTGCTTCATATCTCATCCTGCTTTAATTAGATGTCATAGACGTCTCCCCTCTGTGCTCTGTCAGTGGTCCTGCCCTTCACTACTTTAAAGCCTGCCTAGTGTAGAGCAGTACCTGTTGACAGATGCTGAGGTGCTGCTGAAACTGGGGGTCTTTCTGATAACCTCATAATAAGCTGTGTCTCACCGGTGGGTTTGTCACTACAAAGTTATGCAGTTTTTCTCAGTGTAGTCATCAGAAAGATTAGTAAAGATTTGGAATAACAGGGATTTTCCAATTAATCAGTTTGAGACACAGTCTGTGTTACCTTCTGTGACTGAACTCGAGTCCTGTGATTTTTGATCATTTGGATCACACAAATATCCGCTACGTTGGAGCTCATTACTCCCCAATAAAATTAAAAATAATTTCATTACAGTGCTGGTAATTTTATTTTGACTCTGACTAAAGCCTCGTTGGGGGATGCCCAATGTACTGTGTATGAAAAACTGAATAATAATGAAAGTTACTAAGAATACAAAAGTGTATTTTAAGGGGTTACGGAAGCACAATTAAAACGTTGTGATGTTCAGAGAGGACCTTTTTGTATTTGCCAGAAGCTGTGTGTGTGTGTGTGAATGCAGAGTTTATTTATCAGTTTTAATTTGACGAGATCAAGATGAAAGAGAATTTTCCCGCCTTGCAGCAGAGCCCTACTGGGAAGTGTTGGCACAATGTTTAGTTAAAAGAACTTAAAGAAAACTTGTTTCCTGTCGCTTTGGGAAGCCTTGATGGTTTGGAGAGGCTGTTGTTTTCCTTTGTTGTTCTATGCTGTTTGAACTGTTTCTCCTACGCTGCCAGCAGCACAGGGAGCTGGACTTTCATTATATTTCATACCAACAGTGTGAGCGCACAGAGTGAAGCAGAGCGAGGTTTAGGAGCAAACGCTTCAGCTTTCGGCCTCCAGATGTCTGCGTTTCAGACACTGTTAATAATACGCATGTTACACAGTTCAAGATTCGTTTCTGGAGTTTTATGGTTCAGTAAAACTTAAGTTCTGAAATGAATCGAGATCTGAAATTGGGAATTTAGCACCAGGAGGTGTTGTGTAAGCGCTAAAAATTAACCATGTTGTTGGTGTTGTAACTTTAATGGTTAACTTAAGAAGTGGCTGAATCACAGACAGTTTTTCACTTTGGAGTTTTTACTCTCAAAGAGGAGAACTTTACACTCATAAGCACACGTGCTCAGAAAGTGTTGGCCGTCTTTGGATCTACCATCATCACATTCTCAATGATGAAGTCTAACAAACCCAGATACACAAACTCTCCCAGTGACCGCACTGAACCTGACTTTCATGCACTTAAAGCCCAAAACAGACCAGATTTCTCTCACTGAGTGAGAACTAAAAGGGAAGTAGCTGAAGTAAGTAACAAGAAGCAAGACAGCAATAGCACTTTGTATTAAAAAAGCCTTTGAAATTTTACAAAGCATGCACGTGCACACAACAGTCCCAGTTTGTCATGTGGACTCTTGGGGAAAATGAACTGCCCGCCCTGCTGCAGAGGCCTCATTAACAGAACCTGCAGCTGCCCTTTTAACCACTCGGTCAGCTTTCAGGTTTGTGTGACAGGAGTGTTGGTTAGCTGTTGTTGCTCTCTGCATTTATACTGTGCCGGCCATCGAAGCAGCAGCTCCGCTGCCTCCTGGCCCTCTCTTCGTCCCGGTCTGCCTTTGCAGACTTCTCACAGTGAAGGCTCTATGGTAGAGTCTAAAGCTGACCAATTTTGCTATAATTGAGCAGCCCTACTTCACAGCTGAGGATAATAATGACAGAAGACCTTTGGACAAAGAGCGGGCTGGATTGTAAACGGCTTCATCACTCATAATCGTATGATTTTTACGATGCTTGTAAATGAACGTTTATATTAGAAAACTAGCAAAAAATCCCTTCTTTGCATCTCTAATTTTAATCTGCTCTGTATTTCACTCACAGCTGTTTGTAAGAGGCTCTCTGTGCTCCTGCTGTCAAGTGTCTGTGCGTCACACATTCATTTGCATTGTATAAAACAGTGATTTTTTTTTTTTAACATTTTGAGCTTAAGGTGTAACAAAGGGAAACCAAAAATAAAGCTAAACCTGTATTCATATTAGTCCCTTCTTCTCCTCTCTGCTAGCGTATGCCCTCCATGCATCACCTTAACGTGGCTTTAGGTTCAGACCCAGTCCTCCTTTGAAGTTCTCTACATCTCTCTCATGGTGGTGTTTCAGTGTCGGTCTAGTTTGCTTGGTGACATATTCGCATCCCAAGTCAGACTTAAGCTAAAGCAGACTAACATTTCTACCACCTGAGCAGTGTGGATTGGCTCAGTGGACAGAGGTGCCCTTCGACTCACAGTAAAAAAAAAAATCTCAGATCACTATAGTGTGTTTTAACACATCAACTGGGAACCAGTGATATAAACATCTGGCACCAGGTGTCAGCTTAGACATACAGTAACTTAGGAAATGCTGTGTGTCCCTTCTCAATGCTTCCTGGTTTCCTTTATTCTTGTGAGACGTCCGAGTGGCTGGAAATACACCCTGAATAGGATCCACACCTCACAGGTTTACCATCTCTGGTTCTTATATGTAAGACCACCCCAGGCCAAAGGATCCTTCCCTTTTGGACATTTATTCCCTTCTGTTTTGTTTACACCACTGCCACCAGTTAAAAAGGAAACAATAGCCGGCCACAGAAACTCGGCATTTATTCTCTTCCTCAGTTAAGAAAATGGTAAAGATAACACAGACTGGCATAAAACAGTACTTTTGCACCGTCAATGTGATTTCCAGAGAGCTGTTTGCTGAAAACGTGGCAGCAAACAGAAGATGACGTGAACAGTATGTGAAAGTCAAGTTCTTAAGGACACAGGACCTGAGAGATGCATCTGGAGCTTCATCTGATCCATATACGGAAATGGTTTCAGTGGGCGATCAAGCAATTGTGCAAACTCTCTTCATGCCTTAAATACTGTGTTTCCATGTATGTTTGCACAGTCTATAAATTGTTGTACCCATTTCCTATTTTTCTAGAAAAATATAAAGAACAGATTTATTTTTATTAATTCATGTAATTATTTAATTTTTAACCCTTCTAAGCCCATCGGAGCGTGCACGCTCTTATTTGTGTAACTATTTTTAATTCCCAGTAGAAGTGCAACCACATAAGCTAGCGCTATAATTTCTTTTGCATATGAAACCAGAGGAGTTGCACTTGCATATCATGCAATCAACTTGTCCCAGGTGGCAGTTTCCTTCCACATATGGCTTTCCAAAAATTGTGTTACCCCACCCTATCACCTACACTGACCTTCTTTTGTGTGTAGCACCAGAGAAAAGGTCAAGCCCATGGATGCTTTTTGAATGGAGTATTTAAGAGTAGACTAAATTTACATGCATGCAAACGCTTGAATCGTGTTTTTCTTTCTAAAATAACCCCGTAACCCTTCTACTCATCTTAGATATTGTTTCCTTTTTATGGACACATCGCTCCCCCGGCTGCTTGGTTGGACTCGTACTGCAGTAGTTGATATTGGTTAAAGACTTTTGTTGTCATTAAACAATCTGAGCGTCTCAGAGGGAGAACTGTGTGCTCACAGGGAGGCAGAAAGACTGCAAAGACTCTAACAATGCTACACACACACACACACACACACACACACACACACACACACACAATGAGTCCTTTGTGCTCCCTCTCCCAGGGTACTGTAGGGGTGCGGTATGCCTCGTCAGCTATGCCAGCTAGCATGGGGCCAGCCCCCTGTGCTGCCCAGGAGCTCTCTTGGGATCTGTGTGTGTGTGTGTGTGAGAGAGATCGAGGCAATCCTGCTTAAGCTTTTTACTTAGTTCTTAAACACTTCACCCATTTCTGGAAATAACATTTTGCACATAGTTGTGCCGTTATAGCCTCAGAAAGAATCTCATGTAACTGGTTTGGTTGCATGAAGTGAGATAAATTGGAAACTCTAGGCCTAGTATGTTAGAAACAATGTTACCTGGCACATGGAAAAGTACTGTGGCATCCAGGGAACGTTTTAACTAAAAAGGCTTGTGCTCCAGTAACCGGGGGTGGTGAAACCTGGTAAACAGCTGAAACTGCACCTGTTTGATCAAATAATTCCTACTTTCTTATTATGGACGAACAGATGCTGCCAGCTCGATCAGGCAGTGGTGACCGATTGGTACCGATTTTATAGGCTGATTCTAAACTCCTGAACACTAGAGGACTATGAGAACTGTGGAGCTGCAGATTGATCTCGGATGCACACAAAGCTTCTGTCATGAGATGTGACTGCTCCTCATGGAAATGTGAGACTGAGAGGAGAGCGGTGTATATTTGAGATATTTCCCAGTCCCAACGTGAACGCAGGCAGTGACTGGTACGGCCTCGTCAGAGAGGGCAACACCTATTCAGCTTCTGACAGCTTAACATTTTCTCTAATCTCTTCCACACAAGTCAGAATGTATTCCAGGGAATTATATTATTTCCCATAAAAAATTTTCCAGAGCTGCAGGCATTGCAAAGACTGATCAAATAATCAGTTTTATCATTTATAAACTTCTTGGAGGCCGAGGCAACCCTAACTTTCATTAATGTGCTGAAACAAGAGCACTGAAGTCTTCTCTTTCGTGTGTTTGCCTCTACAGAAAAAAGCCAAAGGTGAGGAGCTGTTTGAACAGATCATGTACCATCTGGACATTGTTGAGAAAGACTACTTTGGAATACGCTTCATGGACTCGGCACAAGTTCCAGTAAGCATGGAGGGTGTCTTGTGACTCTGTACTGGTTGTTTTTTGTTTATTTATTAATAAAAAAATTTAATGCCTGACTAAATCTGCAGACTTCCTGTTAATACTTAAAGTTAACATTTTTCCCCCATTACAGATATTGGATTGATGCATAAAAAGTAAATGTTTACACACTGTTTGTTTACTTTTCTAACTTTTAGCACTTATGTTATGGAGAAATATACATCTTATTGTATTTGTTGGGTAAGGAGTTCATTTTAATTTGACTGTATTATAGTAAATATCAAAAATTTAAATATCTGTTCTTTATCTGTATGTCGCTGCCGTATAATTCTGTGTCATGCTTTTATTTGATATGATACCAAGTGTCTCTGACAGTCGTGTTTTAGCCACATATCCCACATTACTGCTCTCCCAGGAAAGGTTGAGACACAGACTTTCACTTTCAGGGCTTAAAGGCTCGGTCCACTCTGGGAGTCGGGCTGTCCTCTTACACAAACAGTTTGAAGTCATCGGTCTCTCGGGGACTCTGTTCCTTCACTGGGAAACTCAAAGGCAGGCAAACAGGAGGCAGGTTTAGAGCGCTGGGAGAGGGAGGGCTGCAATAAGGAATGTGGGGGAGAGAGATGAGAGAGTGCTGTTCCTCTGTTATCTATCTCTGTCTCTGACATGGACACAGACGCCTCCCTCTCTCTCTAACATAGTTCATGCCTCGCAGAGCCTGAACTTCTAAGAAGAAACCTCGAAGAACAGCGCACTTATTAACCAATTAACTCAAGTGGTCGCTTTGTATCAGTTGACCACACCAGTGCTTTGTTTCTATGTTCAATAAAGGCGCATGTATAGTAATGTTGCTGTTGGCTTTCATGTTAGTTTTGCTAAACCTTGCTGTGTTGATTTAATTGTTGTTGCTTTGTATTCTTTCAGCATTGGCTCGATGTCACAAAAAGTATCAAGAAACAAGTGAAAAGTGAGTATTGCAGCCCAAACACATTGATCCCTGTGTGAAGAGCATGTTTACGTTTTTGGAAGAGAAACTCACCAGCTGGGATTCTCCAGCCGACATCACAAATGGATTTCTTTGAAATGTTAGAGGCCAATACGACTGTGTTCATGTGAATAACACGAGGCACACATTACACGCTATTGTGTTATTAAATTTCATAAATATCTTTTTAAAATTTTTCCATTTAGTTGGCCCTCCTTACTGCCTTCACATGAGAGTCAAGTTCTACTCCTCAGAGCCGAACAACCTGCACGAGGAGCTCACCAGGTGGGCTTAGACACCCACACCTGCATTTCTTTCCTCTCATTTTAAAATCCCACTGTAGTGAACTTTAAAGGAAGTTTTGCCACGCACCACTCAGAAGGGTGAAATATCTGATAATTTCCTTCTGCTTTCTTTCAGATATCTTTTTGTGTTGCAGCTGAAACAAGACCTCCTCAGTAGCAAGTATGTAACTTCTGTTTCTTGCGCACACTTTTAAGCGTTTGCATGTTTTAAGTTGTCAGGTGTTAAGAATGATGCCTGTTCCCATATTTGTTCTTTACATTCTGAGGTTTCTTCTGCTTGTTCAGAGCAGAAAATGATCAGCATTTTTCAGCCTCTCTGCTCGAGCTCTCAAAGCATTTTTATACAACATGTCTCATTCACGTGGGAACACTTCCCTGACAGCTGTTAATACAGCTGTGCTGTAACTGTTTGGTAACTAAACAATCCTGCACTGTAGCCTTTGAATTTAAGTAAGAAGCTTTATTAGTTACCAAGGCGTGGACAGCTTTTCAGTCAGGAATGAAAGTTGGAACGTTTGGCTTACTGAAAGGACACGGAGACATTTACATAGGACTTAGCTGCATTTATTTAAAGGTCAAACTACGTTAGGTTTTTACTTCTGCTTCAAAAAAACGCTCAGTGTGCTCTGCAGACTGTCCTCAGTCATAGTTTCTAAACTCTGACTAGTTAAAATGAACTTGTCCTGCTCAGATGTGATCCTTTTATAAATGTTGGGTTTGCAGTTTTTACCTTGTAAGCTTAACGTTGGGTTACCGAGGAGTTTGTTATTAACAACAGCTCGTCAAACAAGTAAATTCACTGAGTAAGAGAGATGTTGGCAGCGTGGGGGGAACGTCTACAAATCTCTATAGTTTACACAGATCTGAGGAGACACTCGACTGTTGAACTCTGGCTAATGTGTTTAAATGTGAATCCTTTGTGTTGGTTTTCTTTGCCCTCTAACCTTCAGAGCCCTACAGGATTGTATATTGACCTGCTGGTCATTGGAGTGTAGATGCCTTCATTCAGTCATTAAATAGAGATTAAAATATGGAATTCTGATTTCCTCTTTATGGAAGGGAACCTGCAGGCTTGAGCTTCATGGGTTTCACTACGATTCATTTTTGCACGTCTGTGTTTTTAGGCTCGAATGTCCGTTTGACACAGCGGTGGAGTTGGCTGCCTTCTCACTACAGGGTAAGCACATCAGTGTTTCACACACAGCTTATGTTTTATGTAGCTGGTGATTGTTCTGGTCTGGAGATTCGGCTTAGAAAGTCAGTGCAGCCAGATCTTACAGCAGCTGGAGAACTTTAGTCCATGCAAACTAAACGAGGCTGCAGAGCTGTAGCCTCAAATGCTAACTTGGTGTTCTTGGTGAGGTTGTGTGCCAACGAGGCTCTCACATCACAGATGCGTATCTGGAACCAGTCATGGCAGTCTTTGACTTACACTCTGAGCTCCTACCTTCACACACCTGCAGTAGCTGTTTCATAAGTCCAGTGTTTACCTGCAATGAGCCATTTCAGAGGTGCTGCAGAGGAGCAAAGACTGAGTCGCTGGAGACATTTATGGAATGGGCTTGCGTGCACCAACCCTTGTGTGCTCACACTTACACATGGTCATTGTGGGTAAATGCCAGCTCATTAGTGCTCGATCCTCTTCTGTGGCCCCCTAATCCAGCACCCTTTCTGCCTTCTCCCTGCCCCTCAGCTGAGCTTTCTAGCTTTATCTTCAACTTTTTCACATTTCTGTTGTTGGTCCACGTTTAGGGATAGGCTAAAGTTATATTTTCTCCCCCTTTATCCCGAGGCTTAGCTCACAGCTGGACTAGCTAAACAATGAAGATCACAAACCTGAGCTGCTTCTGTGTATCCAAACACTGAAGCCGTAATCACGACTCTTTCTTTCCCTTCTCTCAATTTTTCTGTGTGATGGTTTATTTCTTATGCTGGCAGCTGGAAATACCCGTTACCTCATTGGAGACTTTTAGGTGGGTGATTCAGTATAAAACCAGTTAAATCTGAGGAATTCATGCACACAGTAGTGTTCAGAAGTCTCGAGCAACCCCTCATTTCTTTATGTTTTGCTTCCATGGAGCCAGACTTTCCTGTAATTTTCAAAGTGCTCTTTCTTTGGACGATGGCTGCTTTTTCCTCTCGCTTTCAGTCCAATCCTTGTACCCGACCGTTTTCAGGGAAATGCTTTTGTTTAAGCCGCGTAACTGACCTCTAAATCATCCAGGCACTCAAAGACCCCTAACTCAGTGTTGTGCCTACACATAAGAGGAAACATAGCAAAGAACCAATTTTAAATTTGATTATTGTCTTTGTTACAAGCAGCCGGCCACAGAAACTCGGCATTTATTCTCTTCCTCAGTTAAGAAAATGGTAAAGATAACACAGACTGGCATAAAACAGTACTTTTGCACCGTCAATGTGATTTCCAGAGAGCTGTTTGCTGAAAACGTGGCAGCAAACAGAAGATGACGTGAACAGTATGTGAAAGTCAAGTTCTTAAGGACACAGGACCTGAGAGATGCATCTGGAGCTTCATCTGATCCATGTACGGAAATGGTTTCAGTGGGCGATCAAGCAATTGTGCAAACTCTCTTCATGCCTTAAATACTGTGTTTCCATGTATGTTTGCACAGTCTATAAATTGTTGTACCCATTTCCTATTTTTCTAGAAAAATATAAAGAACAGATTTATTTTTATTAATTCATGTAATTATTTAATTTTTAACCCTTCTAAGCCCATCGGAGCGTGCACGCTCTTATTTGTGTAACTATTTTTAATTCCCAGTAGAAGTGCAACCACATAAGCTAGCGCTATAATTTCTTTTGCATATGAAACCAGAGGAGTTGCACTTGCATATCATGCAATCAACTTGTCCCAGGTGGCAGTTTCCTTCCACATATGGCTTTCCAAAAATTGTGTAAAAAGTGCTGGCAACAACAAAAACACACTCCACAAACACGCTTTGCCGATCCGATCAGCTGTTCATAGCACTCCCTACGTCGGAATAAATATCAGGGCGAACTATCGCATGTCCGCCATTACATGCCATAACTTGAAGTGATGTCATTTTTCATGGGAAAGTTTTTTTTTTTTTTCCATTACAGGGCCTTTCAAAGGTTAACTGGTGTTTTTGAAAGTCATGCTTGACTTTATGGCTTTTTGTATAGTTTCTGAGAGGCTTAATTCCACTGGTGGAAATAGTTTATTTTGATGAACATGCTATTATTATATTTATTTTGTTTTTCCTGCAGTTTATAAAAATTGGTGTATCTCAAAAATGAAACTATGAAAACACTCAAAATACATTTCCTGTGGCTGGAAACTATTTTGGGCAACTTTTTTGCATTTACAGTTTTGATGGATAAACCTGAAATTTCTGTAACTAGAAATGTGCGTTTACAAAAACATGTTTTTATGTAGTTACTATGGACTTCATGCATACATATTATTAAAATTTGGGATGTAATGGTTGTATTGATGTATAGCAACTTGAAATGTTTGGTAAAATGCTGAATGGGGGGGGGGTATTCCATCATTAACTGTAAAGATGCGTCTGTGTGTTTGCAGCCGAGTTGGGCGACTGTGATCCATTAGAACACAATTTGGATCTCGTGTCAGAGTTTCGCTTCATGCCTGAGCAGACAGAGGAGATGGAGCTGGCTATATATAACACATGGAAGGAGTGCAGGTAAGTGTTTCGTTGTTACTGAGGTAGTGTGTTTATGAGCACAGGTAGAAAGTCATGTAATGGCCACGCTGCCATATACGCCAAACATCTTAGGACTGCACTTTCATTTTTTTTATTTAATTCGCACAAAGTTGTTTTAAATCACAACCGAAGGTAAAGACCCGACGATTAAAGAGATCCCCAACAACCAGATGAGTCCACAGCTGGTTTGGGGGATGAGGAGGCAAAGGGAAAGCACATGAAGCGGTGGCAGGGAAGGAGGGGAGTGTAGTCTGATGCATGCGTTTCCTCCTCACCTTTTTCAGAGGTCAGACACCAGCCCAGGCTGAGATCAACTACCTGAATAAAGCAAAGTGGCTCGAAATGTACGGGGTGGACATGCATATGGTGAAGGTAAGTGACACGGTCTTTCTGTACCGTTTACACACACATCGTAGGATCCCAAACAGGAAGTGCCCTTGATGAAAGACAGGAAGAGAAAGGAATGTGCATCGCAACATTAGCATATGATAAGATCATAATGTGAGCTCTTTGATGTGTCTTCTTTCTTCTCCCTTCCTGTCTTTTCATCACTTCTGCCCTGCAGGCTCGAGATGGTAACGAGTACAGCCTGGGCCTGACACCCACTGGAGTTCTGGTGTTTGAAGGACAAACTAAGATCGGCCTTTTCTTCTGGTACATTTCATTCGGACCTAATTCACTTTTTTTTTTTTTTTTTCTTTTCATGCTTTATAGACATAATATTTTGTCCTGCCTTCCTGTGTGACTGTCTTAGGCCCAAGATCACTCGTCTGGATTTCAAGAAGAGCAAACTGACGCTTGTGGTCGTGGAGGATGATGATCAGGTGATCACGAGCGCACACACACGATGCACACATGACGGGCAGCAGACCGTGGAGAATACGGAGTAGACGGGCAGTATCTTCTTAATGTTAATAGAAACAAAGTAAAACCAGGTGTTTAAAAAAAATAAATAAATAAAAAAAAAATGTTTAACTCCTGTGCTTACAAGACTAAATTAAATTCAAAATATAGATAAAATGTCTTTAACACCTGCAGTGTGATCACATTATTCAGCACATCAGGTGCGAGCAGGTGTTTTTGTGTGTGCGTTAGGCTGCAAAGTCTCCATTACAGTGGCTGTTCTGAGTTTTTCCCTCTGAGTCATAATAAACTCAAATAAAACCGAATTAAAAAAAAAAAACCTTTAATGAAACTAAACAGAAGTGAAAAAAAAATCAAAATGAAATAAGAATAAAAGCTAATTTAACAAAATTCAAACCTTGTATTAACTCTAGTTGCTGCACGTTTGCTGCTGTTTGAATGAGCTTTTATCATTTTTCTCAGCTGGTCTGGTTGAAGTAAATTAGAAAATACCAGACGCTATAAAAGCTAAACTTTGCAGCTGTAACTCTACACTGTTCGATCTCATGAAACTCACTGAACACATCTAATGTGTCAGCTTCCACAAAGAAACACAAATCAGGATGAATTTCAGCATTTTGAGAAAAGTTCATCTTACAGTGTAAAATCATTTTCTAAGACCTTTCAGAAAATTCCAACAAACAACATTTTTTGTTGTTTCTTATCAAAGAAAAATCCCCCCAAAAAACTTTGTTTGATGTTGTTCCCAATCCATATTATAACAGGGAGGTGTGTGTCAGTGTGTGTGTCAGTGTGTGTGTCAGTGTGTCTGTGTGTGTGTCCGTGTGTCCGTCCCTCGGGTCTTTGACTGAGGTTAATAAAGGAGCCTGCCCCCTCTGGTATTTCTGGTATGCGCCCCCCAAACCTCCCAACACACACACATTCTCGTTTTGTTGTCTTAGCAAGGACATGTAATTGACATAATGCAATGCCTGACCCTAAACCTAATCGTAACCCTCACATTAAAACCACATTTTGAGCATCAAAAAGCTTGTGAGGATCAGCGTGTGTGTCCTCACAAGTATAGTGGAATGCCAGTTTCTGGTCCTTATAAAGACGTCTAAACAGGTACACACGCACACACAGTTTTCACCTCCTAACTCTGTCCTTTAACAAATGTATGCTGTAGTAATGTGATGCGCACACACACACACACTTTGACAGTAAACCCGTCTGCTCGGGTGGAGGAAGTGAAGCAGTCACTTCCCCTCATCTGTCACTCTAAATTTCAGACCATTTTTTTTCTAACAGCTGGCCAGTCTGTTAACTCACGTGACTGTTTTTTGCTGAAACCCCTGTTGTGTAAAGGATGTTGTGTTTTTCCCCCTTGGAGTGGGAGGTTGGGGTGTAGCTTCATGCATGTGTGAAATACCAGAAGTACACCTGAGAATAGATGGAAATGCAGGAACAGTGTGACTGGCACTGGACCGGCTCCAGGTCTTGTAACTGGCTGCAGTGCCAGGCGGGCTTTCATCCACGCCTCTCTGAGAAATCAAATTAATGAGGCAGCACCTGCGCTGGTGGTACAGCCGTTCATTCCTCGCATATCAGGCCCCTTCAGTAAGGAAAGCTCTGACTGTACTCCATCGCAGACGCAAAAAGCTGGAGGTTCGATGACCAAGCAGTCATTCCTATTACACTTCAGTAAGTCTATGCATGGCTAAAGTACATGCGTAGTTGGGGCATGTAATGCAGACGTGGAAAAAATAATCAAAACTTGTTATGCAGTTTTTCCTGCCCCAACTAGTTTTTCTGGTAAAATGCAGGGATTTTAAACTATACTTAAAATATTAGATTCATCATAAAAATTGTAAATAAAAAATAAAGACATCACTGGCTTGTTTGAGTCCTTTTTACCTGCCAGATCACTGCTGCACTTTCAAGTTCTACTCCAGCTGCAGAAGTTCACAATTTGCTCTAATGATGTCAAACCGCTTTAATCGAGTCCAACCCTGTCCCGATTCTCCTCAGGGTAAAGAGCAGGAGCACACCTTTGTCTTCAGGATGGACCACCCCAAGGCCTGTAAGCATCTCTGGAAGTGTGCTGTGGAGCACCACGCTTTCTTTAGGCTGAGAGGACCTGTGGAGAAGAACTCTGCACGCTCTGGATTCATACGCATGGGCTCACGCTTCAGATACAGGTGAGAGATGCACAGCCAGGGCTGTGGTTGTTCAGAGTCTTTGTGTGTATGTGGTCTTAGTCAGTTTTACGTAACCTTACATCCCAGATCATAAAAAATATAATTCCCAAGCTTTTTTAAAAAGGAAATCACAGGATAAAATTAGGATTTTAGCTCTGAGAAATATGGTTGTGGTGGGAGACTCAAACGTAAACTGGGGATTGTGGCAGACTGCTCGAGATTAATATGTCACAAATTAGATGTGTGTGTTTGTCATTGTGCGCCAAGAAGACCGTCTCAGATTGACAAACAGTGCTTAATCACTCTCTATACATGCCAAGTAGCCCATGTGTGTACACACAGATACTTGCAGTGGTACTGACAGGCACTCGGTATCAACATGCTGCAGTAGCAAGCTGCTTCCCAACTGTGTGTTTAAACATTACCCAGTTGGATAAGCTCTGCAGTAATGTTGTTTTAACACGGGGGTTGAAGGGGTTTGTTGTTAATGAAAGGTTATCGCCTGGATGCTTTCAGGGTTCAGCAGGGGTCATTGCTGCGCCTGTTTTTGCCACAGAGCATCGTTAAGAAAGAAATTTTTGTTGGGAACAGTTTGCAACTGTAAAGAAATTCTTGTGTTTGCACGATCAGCGGCAAGACTGAATACCAGACAACAAAGGCCAGCAAAGCAAGGCGCTCGGCATCATTTGAGAGGAGACCGAGCAGACGCTACTCGAGAAGAACCATGCACAGCAGAGGTGAGCCTGAAACGTGACAGTCAGCATTAACACTCACGGGAACAAATATTCATGGAAGCATGCATCACAACATCAGGGGAAAATATTTTATAGTAGAAAGTATTCTTGTGACGTTTTTCCTGTCAGTTTAACTTCTGAAAATTAAAAACACTGACTGATTGGCCACAAAGGATTTCACCTGTGAGTTGAATGAATAAGAGCTGAAGTAGCTGGGAAGGCTTGCACCTGTGCACACAAGGTCCCCCTATGTGCACTGCGTGCCGAGCCGTGCAGTCAGGAACACTGTACGCTTGGGACACAAATGAACAGAGCTTTAGAAATCCTCTACTCCTTGTGTAAAAAGCATACGATGACCTGCTTGCCCCACTTAGGCAGAGCTACGAGCACTCCTCATCACCCGAGCAGTGCCCCCTGGATTAGCTATGTGAAGGCTAACGTAGTCTCCAAGATGAGCATCATGCCAGGGGGCCTTTGTGTTGCAGGGTCAGGAAAAACCGGTTCGTACTGGAGGAAGGATGGAAGGAGAGGTCCTTGAAGAAAAGCTGCCCAGAGTACAGAGTAGTTCACCTTTAAGGGGGATCTTACAGAACATAAGTAACCTGCTGTAACCTCACGAGCCCCTCCCTAAACTATAACACAGGCACACCATGCACCAGTGTAAATGCTGGACATAGCCTCGACCCTTCGTGCAGCCTACACTGTAGCTTTACTTGTGTTAAACTCAAAGACGCTTCTGCAAAGAAATGACTTCAGGGTCTAAATGTTGGTTCAGCATGAACAAGAGTAAAAACAGTCACGTCTGCTGTAAACAAACAGCATTATTCATGTGGACACAGTTCTTAATGTGTTTTCTTTGCTTTTCCAGGACCGTTCAACCCACCAGAGTGAGTACAGAGATGTATAAATGTGTTCTTGTACATTTAAGATACTTTATTTGTCTTTTTTGTGACCATTTTCACATTAATTTATGTAAATGTTATGTCTCATTTATTGATTGTACGGGGGCTTTCGTTCTGAACATCCATACTGGGTCACATGATATAAATTTATCCGAGTATTTTCACTGTTTTCGGGTTAATCATCAGGTTGAGCTATGATCTCGATACAGAGCCTTTTGTTACAGGTGTGTGTGTGTGTGTGTGTGTGTGTGTGTGTGGGGGCTAAGACGTGATGTCAGCTGTAGCTTTAAGCTGTCGTGGGAACTGAGCTGCTGAGTCAAAGCATTTATGATAAATGAGACTACATTACAGCTCATTAGACTGCACTTTTTTTTAAAGCTGTGTCCAAGACTTGCTGTCTTAATTATGTATGAGGGTTTTCAAATTGCCTCAGGGCAGACGTTAAATTAAAACTTTGTCATAATTTAAGACAACTTTTATGTTTTCATTGTTCCAAAATGTGCCGCATGTGTCCTGGCCTGCAGGCTCGAAGCTCCACGAACACTTTGCCACCAATGATGGTCGCTCACCCAAATTTGCAAGACTTGAAAACTTTATTCTTATTTCTTAAATGTTCTTAGCGTTTTTTGTTTTTGTCTGTCATTTCAGTTACTTGCAGTGTAAAACCAAATAACCTGTATTAAGAATGCTTGAGCAGAGCTGTTTGCTCTTCAAATAAAATCTGTTTCTTTCTCTTAGGGCTCTTTCCTCAGGCAACGGAGTCAATTCCAGCAAAGACAGAAAGGTGAGGAGAAAAGCTGCTGTTTAATTTCTCCACTGTTATCTGGGGAAAGAGAAGAGCAGTGAAACACAGCATCAGGTTTAGATGTTATCACTGAGAGAACAAATGAAGTCAGGTTTAATCATCCGTTCAGCCATATCTGTGGATGTGTAGCTTTAACTTGTTTGCTCTGTGCTCCTCCAGGTGACCCCCAGCAGGAGTGCATGGGCAGCCATGCCCGTGGTCAGCCCGGTCGCTGCTTCTGCCTGTGGACCGATTGAGATCGAGGCTCTGCCCAGGAGTCCTGGGGGAGAAAAAAGAAGGTTGGTGCCTGCACATTTAAAGACTCCTCTAGATCTTTAATTTTTTGAGCTCGTCTTTCTCCCTGACGAGCATTTTAGAAAAGTGAATCAGGATTTTAAAGTTGATTCCTTATTTTTGAATGTCGCTGACGACTTACAGCTGCTCATTGCTGTATGAAAGAAAGATGCAGGAAGACACACAGCAAAAAGATTTGGGTTAAAAATAAGGGAAGGCCACCCGGTTCCTTTTAAATGTTTTGACTGTTTCCTGATTGTTGATTGGATAAAAAACAGGCCATGATACTGGCCTCATCGTGCTGCGAGTCCCTTTGTGTGAGAATAGTTTTTTCATGTGAGACCGCGAGTATGGAACGACCCCGGAGTGGACAGGACGTGGATATTCAGTTTTTATCTTTCTACTGTATTTTTTTTAATCCCGTCATTCAGCCTCTGAGTGATGTGTAAATAATTTCAGGCTTTTTTCTGATTTGATCTGTTATTTATGGATTTATTTTGTGCGTGTGTGTGTGACTGAACACAAATGTGCATTTGCATGAATGTATGTAAGCATCCAGCTTTGTTATAAACCTCCCGTGTTTCCTTGTGTGTTCCAGTATGATTATGTACTGAGGATAATTGTCTGGCAGCACGCTGGTAGGTACAGTCAGACTGAACATGCTCTCGCTTTAACCAATCATTCGCTGTGCACTATCGGCTTTGAGACTGCGGCTTTGGAAATGGGTTTTCTTGCACCGAACAGACAGCAATTCGCCGCCTTTTGCTGTTTGTTCCCTTTTGATCAGCATGGAATGCAGCAAATCGGTGCTGGGAATGGTGTTGTGATTTGGCTGCTGTGCGGGAATCGGCGATGTGATTTCAGCTTTGGATCTATTCTCTTTGATACTGTTGGTGCTTTGTAGTGTGTAGGTATCCTTGCTTTTTTTTCTACTGATGTCATTCTGAGCATCCTGTGAACCACCAACCTCATACTGGAAAACTTTAAGGAAAGTATCAGAACCACAGCTGTGCGTGAATCGGTGTTTATTTACAGATCTGTCAGATATATCATATCGTATCCCCAGAAGAGACCTCGGCTTTTATACGAGGATTTCCCAGCATAAACGTGAATGTTTCTGACCCGAACGCGGGTCAGAAACATTCACGCGCTCATTTGGATTTGCAGCTCGGGCTGAAACCATTTCTGCTCAGCTTCCTGTCACGTCTGTGGTGCACTGGCTCATTTTTGTTTTTAGACTTAAACAATAATCCTGGCTCACGTCCTGTGAATGTGGCTTAATGAGTCATTTGTACCCTCGGCTAAAGAGATTCCGAGCAGTTTACCAATTAGTTTACCATTGTGGTAAATGATGCCCAGTAGGAAAAAAACTTAATTGTCCTTTAAATTGACATAAGACGATCTTAAATCAGGCCAAAGCATTTACATGGCCTCAGTCTGCAGACTGCAAATACCTGAAATGAGTTTATGTAATCATTTATTCATTCACTCGATTTTTCATAAAAATCTCAGCATTCCTGCTCTCACATAGATTAAAATGCTGCTGTTACACATTTCCTGTTTTTACCCCTCAGCCATAAAAGGCTGATCGGGTATTGGCGTCACCCACTGGCCGGGCGGCGTGGACGCCCAAGTTTGTGAATGTGATAACTCGAGAATGAGGCGACGTAGGATTGTGATACCGTAAGCCCCTGTACTGAGGGGCTGAGGTAGAGCACCGACTGCCTCCAGTAGTTTTAGAGCTTTTAGGAAAGATTACGTTTACGTCTGATGTTGTTTCAGCGACACGTACGGGCCGGCGATGCTGTGTTCTTGAGGCGATGCTGTCGAGCCTTCAGGGACTTCATTAAAAATGTTTCATCAGCCTAAGATCTTAAACAGAGATGACCTCTGTTTATAACCGACTGAGTGGACACGAGGAGGATGCTTTGACAGTGACATTGTTACATCACTAATGCTTTCGACTAATCCCCCGTGCTCTTTCCTTTCTCCTCTCCAGCTCTGCTTTCTCTCTCGCTTTGAAATCAACGGGGTTTTGGGTTTTTGCATGGACCCCACCCCACCCCCCATTAACCCGCCTGATAACATGAACAGTCAACAGAGAAATAAGTTGATTTTAAACTGTGATACAGACATTATAGTCTAGATTATATATAACAGGCAGAACTTCTAAAACCAACTTTATTCAGAACAGCAACGCACACATAACATCGACGTTCAGCATAAAAACACATAACACATATTATTTGTAAGGATTCGAGTGTTATAAAATTCCCCAAATGCTTTATAGATGCCGACAGTTTTGATATCTTGGGCAGTTTATATGGTGTCATCCAGATTCATTAACATGCATACATACGCTATGATCATCTCTGTGACATGTATATAAAATAAATAAGACTAATCATCAGTGGCAGCAGATTAGAAAAGCCTTGATGTTATGGTGAGAGTGGAAACATTGGGGAGTATTTCAGGCGAGCGTAACAGCAAAAAACAAAGTGAAATTAAAATGTGAGAAATACTAATTTAAAAATAACGACTGAAATTTCTACAAACTTTAAAAAAAAGGCGTTAATGAGCCCACGGTGACATCATCAGTGTCCCATACTGCCATGTGTCTTTAAAGGTTGCCCCCTCCCTGACCCTTATTCAGTCCTGTAAGCTGTTTTACTTCTCTGAATGTTATCGTAAGTGTTAGTGGGTCGGTCTCAGCTCAGTCTCTTTGGAAACAATGTAACGATTTAAAAAACATAAAATGAAAAATACAAATCAAATCTGTTGCTAAACACTGCACGCAAAACCTAAAGGTCATTGGAAGTTCACCCACTTATCATCCCGTACCATCAAGTCAGTCCCAGTTTGGACTCAAACTCCCAGGAGACCCGTCGCGGATAAAAGCTTCTGCTCAGGAATATATAAACAGTATGAACATGGATTTGACATGAGCTATCAAACATCAGCCCCTAGAGGTGCAAAGCCGGGTCACCGATGCCCCAGAGACGTCCAGTCACTTCACTTAAGTGTTTATGTGACAGCACATGTCACACCACACTTCAGTGCACGCTGGCAGACGTGTTGCAATAAGCTGGATGGCATACTCCTGACACCGCAGAGCTCGTCACGCAAACCCGCGTCTTACTCGTTTATCCAGAATGATTTATGCCCATCAGAGCAGCTGCTTTTGTCACTGAATAAATGGTAACATATTTACACAACTTGTCACAGTTATTACACACTCTCCTACGTTCATGTTATCAGCCTCCTGCTGCCTTCTTTATTCCCTTTCTTTTCTTTTAACCATCTTCTTCTTCTGCACAATAATTGCTTTCCTCCCAGTCTCACTCTTTACTTCACCTCACACACCCTGTATCTTCACTACCTCATCACCTTCCCTTTGTCACTCTTTCACTGCCACCCTGTTGTCCTCAGGTGTCCTCTTCCCTCCATCCTCCCCGCTCTTTTTCATCAAGGTTCCCCAAACGGAGTGGGACAGATCCGACCAGCTGGCCGCCGTCTCACCAGCTGTACCGGCGCGAACTGGTCTGCACGCTAATGAATGGGAAAGGCTCAGCAGTGAAGTGACTCGCCTCGCCTAGTGCGAATGTACAGATTTGTGATTAAGTGAAGCGTTCCTCAGCAGAAGTCTAACACTACCCACATCCCCCCCTTTCCCTTCAGTCCATCTCTGCACCTCATGCCTCTGCTCCTTGACCTTTGGCTCAGTGACAGTTTTGAAAAGATAACTTCCCATTGCTGCTTTCCCTCTGCTTCCTTGGCCTCTCCTTTCTGTCCTCCTCCCCCCTCTTTTTTTTCCTCCTCCTGACCTTCATGCCAAACCTCAGGGGGGAGGCTGGCAGGCAGGGGTGAGATGGTATCAGGCTCAGTTTTATGAATTCAATTCCAGTCTTGACTCTGTGAGGAAACAGCAGGTCAGAGGTTCTGGGGGATTTAGGCTGGTCCTCTTCTGCTCCTTTCCCCCCCTCAGTCTCAGAAACAATTTCCTGTGTTTGTAATATTTCACACACTACTGCTGTGTTTAAATTCAGTTAAACATTTTTATAAATGAAATGAATTCGATTTTTTTTTAAAGTGAATCTGTTCTTGCATTTCTGCTGCTCTGTTTAAAAGGGAGTTGGATAAGAGGGTGGGTGTCGTTCACCTGTAGGCAGATTAGTCTGAAAGGGTTTTAGCTGTAGGTGAAAAATGAAGCTAACGGTTCACCATGTCTATTTCCAAATAATGTCTGGATTAGTTAAATTCTGTTTGAAGGTTTTATTGTTGTCTAATCATATTTTATGTTGAGCTTCTGTGAAAGCTTCTGAAATGAACCCGATGCTGCCTCCCCATTCAACTTCTAGCAAGAGATCGAGCTAGAATAATGCATTGAAACGTGCTGCAGTACAGTAACGTCTACCTGCAAGCATGCCACAGTTAAATGCTGAATAATCACGTAAATAATTCAAATGCACTGATCTTACATGGTAATTACACTGTTTATTGCACATCTCAACCAAATGAAGATAAATATGTAATATTATGTAGTTAATTGTTTACAACATGACCAAAGCGTTTGTCTTTAGAAACTGTGTTCGATTTTAAATCAAAGCAGGATAGTTTTAAATAAAGTTAGTTGTATTTCAGATCAGTCTTATTTTGAAATGATGAAATCAGAAAAGGCTCCAACTTTGGATGTTTGTTAGAAATATTTTATTTAACACGGTCACAACTTTGTCATTCTATGTTCAATTGTTTTAAGCCAATTAAAAAAGCTAATAAATACACATTGGAAGGAAGTCGTACATTTACGTTCTCACCTTTGCTTTAGAATATAGTGAAAATAACATTTTATTGTCTGTAATGTGATAAAGTTTGTGTTTTCGGTTTGGAACAAATCAACTTATCACTAGGGCTGCCACGATTTGTCGACTAGTCACGATTACGTCGACTATCAAAATCGTCGACGACTAATTTAATAGTCGACGCGTCGTTTGAAGTTTTGTAAGATCCCAAAAGACGCAGGAATAAGTAGCAGGATTTAAGAGTGTAATAACGGACATAAACAGAAGATGGCAGCACTGCATGTACAAGGATGCCAGCTGCCGTTAAACCCCGACGAAGAAGAAGCTGTGTCCCAGAATTCATAGCGCGGCCCTGCTCAGTTTCCAACAATGGCGGCAGCTAGTTAGTCTTAATATTACTCTTATTATTCTTTCTGGGTCACAAAAACGGTTAACATATTTTTAGGCGAGAATGTAGCTGTGTAAACCTCAAATATCTGCTCAGTTTATCAGGACACTGCATATTTTCAAAAGCGCTCCGACGTTTTCGGAGACGTCTGTTACCCACTAGCTCGATAGCTAGCCGGGGGCTAGGCTAACTAGAGCCGTGAGAACACCGGACTCCCGGCAAACAGTTTTCAAACCCACCGCGGTCTTTCACTACTCAGGTTAAACATATATATGAGTCACTTAGATAACTTAAAAATGTTGTTTGCCTTTTTTTCAGTATTTTATTTGTTCCTGAGTAAATCAGTTTGTCTGAGATTAAAGTTATAGTTTTTACACAGCTGAATAAACGTCAAGCAGACAGCTGATTATCAGAAGTGTGAGATGCTCCAGAATTTACTCCAGTGTCCTGTTATATTTTAGATAGCAAGGAGTTTATTAAACTTCACCGAAACAATCTGCAAATTTCATTAAAATTTAATAAACTATCATCTTGTCTTTATTTTTAGTTAGCACAGACCTTAAACACTTAAAGCTGTAAGCTAATGATAGTTATATAAGAGCAGATGCTGCTGGTGCAATAAGCTGTATGGTTTATGTCCGATGGATGATGATCTAATTAGTCGACTAATCGCAAAAATAATCGGTGACTAGTCGACTATCAAAATAATCGTTTGTGGCAGCCCTACTTATCATCACCCAAAAAGCTCCTGATTGTAAGTCTTCGGCCCAGTTTGATACTTTACATGATACTTTGATACTTACATTTGTCACGCTGTAATATTCAGTCAAATCCTGGTGATTGTATAATTATGTCGATATATGTGAGTCGTACCGGGTTACTGGATTACGATGTAGGATTTTTCAGTGATCTTGTATCGGATAAACGTGTGCAAACAGATATTTAAAAACGCTGCTTCTGTTGTGGAGGACTGAATAAAGACTAGGGAGTAACCGGTTGCCAGTTTCAGTTCCAGTCGGTGTGCGTCTCCTCGGTGGTACATGCATCTGTCATACTTGCCTTCGTGTCTTATTCCCCACGCGACGGCTCGATTCTCCTCACGGTGGATCTTTTAACATATTTATTGGATTTTTGAGCCCACGTACAAAGAATCGCACTTTTCTTCACATCTTTTTGTGTGTTGTTCTTTAACCCCTGTACTCTCCAGGCAGTATGTTGTAATATACAACATTTGTTATGTTTTGCTGTGTCTTCAGGCTACAGAAATATGAGGTAATTACAGAGCTGCTGGAAGAGCTTCTGCTAAGATCCGTGTGTCAAATGTTCTGCTTCAAGCACCTCTAATTCTGAGAATATTACACCGCATTATTTCCTGCTGAAGTTATTTTGTGGGCAGTGTTTTTACCTCCGGAGACATTTTTGAGTGGACTCAAACGTGGTTTCATACTTATGTTGTAAAATACAATCGTTTTATCACATGTCGGCAACGTGACCCTGTAAGTTAACGTTGGTGATGATGCTAACGGTTAATGACTATGGATTACAAGTACAAGTACTTTATGCTTTTCTTTTGGTTTTAGTAATAATTATTTGACATATTATTGGATGTTGGTGTGTTGCTCTTAAACACCTTCTGCTGTATCAGCGCGGATCAGTTCTGTCATCACTGCAGAGTCTGTACATACGTTGTCGAGGTAAGCTGTATGAATCACAATCCTTTTCTTCCAGTTTGTGTTAAAAACCCATAAAACAGCCTCTATTCTCTTTCTCTTTGAATGTATTTATCATTAACCCTTCCATCCACAACTCAGGCTGAATCTGCCATGCTTTCTCTTCTTGTATGTCTCTAGTTTGCCAGTGGTTGCTGACCTAATGGAGACGTGTGTCGACGATGTCCTCAGAGGTCCCGTTGTCCCTGCAGTCACAGCTATCGAGGAGCCCGTACAAGCCGCTGCCTATGCCGGTGCTAGCGTCCCTGCAGAAGATGCGCTGAGTCTCGCTGGTAAGGCTGCAGCGAACTGGCCAATATTTAAAAACTCTCCTTAGAAGCCAGGCTTTAAAGAAAACTGCTGTAAAACAATAAATGTCTGTTTTAAGAGACTGACATAACTGCAGTTTTTGACTCTATAGCCTCATTTTTCACCGTGACGGCTGCCGCCTGGTGCGACCTTACTGACCATTGATTCACTTATATTTTTCTGTTAATGCAAGCAATAGTTACACTCAGCCAACACCGTTATGAAAAAGACCCAGAGCTGACTGTTAATAAACATCAGTGTCCTGAGACGAGACGATCACTTGCTAACTATATAAATAAAGCGAAGATAACTCTGTTTGTTTGTCTTTCTGTGTTCATGTGCGGCGACTCAGAAGCAGCAGCTCGTCTGAAGCAGCTGGAGTTGGAGAGCAGTCCGCTTCTCGCTGCGCCGAGAAATAACATGAACGTCAACGTGGCCATGAACAACCAGGCGAGTGTTTGTTATTTCCTCTAAAATCAGACTCTGCTTGCTTTGATGGAGACCAGCAGCACTTCTGTGTAGTTCACTGGCAGTTCAGCATAAACAAACACATGTGCGGCACAGCGTGATGAAGCCTCTGTGACATCTGACCCAACAGGACGATGTGGTGAAGCTCACAGAGAAGTGCGGGCTGAACAGTGCGGGCAGCAGTCCATGCGTGACTCCGCTGCGCACCCCGGAGGATCTGAAGAGTAACATCCTGAAGGCTCAAGCCGAGGCGGCCGCGCTCAAGGTGCGCAACAGACCGGGGGGTGAAAAAGAGGGCCCTCCGATGTACTCTGATTCTGCTTATCCATCAGAGTGAAAGCCTCATCAGCTGAGCGGTCTTTAGCTAAGCCTTCAGTATTTTGTAGCCTTTTGTTTTTAAACACATTTAAATCAAAACAGCTAAAGTGACGTTTTGATTCATGTGTGGGAGCCCTCCCCTCATAAACGCCTGTTTGCTCTGTGCAGGGGGCTTTGGAGGAACACGCTGTGATGCTCGGAGATAAAAACTGTAACCTGCAGGAGGCTTCTGCGAGGTACGTTTTCACTCACCTGCACTTTCAGGAATATGATAACTTCTTATGTTCAGCTTCAGAATCAAAGAAAATAGAATCACGTTTCCACTCAGACTGTTATTTAACCCTTTAGGATCTTTGCATTAAGCAGCTCTTCAGAGCGCACCGTGCTATCGGCACAGGGCACACTGTCACCGCGCCTCATTGTCTTGAAACTCGGCCTTCGTTCCTTCATCTTACTGAGTCATGCCAACTGTCAGTGCTTCATCCCAGCCAATCACAGCGCTCGCTGCTGCTCGAGCTGATTAACCTCTTGAATATTTATAAGGATTATTAGCATAGCTCACAACGTTACGTCAGCCGCAGCTCGGCAGCGCTCCACAGAATGACAAACGAGTCCACGACGGCTCGTAACCGAAGCAGCAAGCGACTCACGCTGGAGAATAAACAACGTTGGATTTGGCAGATTCTGTTGTTGACGGTTTTAGCAAATGTTTCCTGTTTGCATGTTGTTCTAAAAGCATTTCTACTGAAACTCATAATAATGAAACCTGTTTAAAAGTAATTTGTTTACTCATGTAGTCGGAGAAGTTTGACCTCCTGTCTTTCTGTGGTAACCACAGTGAATGTTTTATGCAGGAATAAGCGTTATGTGTGTCTCTCTGCCAGGTTGAAGGTGCAGTAACTCGTCTCTTTGTGTTAGCAGCCGCCCTGACGTCCAGGACACCTGGGACCTGCTGAAGCCACCATCCTCCCTGGTCTCATCTGCAGGCGCCAGGTGAGCCTTTGTTTAGAAAAACAAAACATTACTGTGGTTTGTACTTCGTTGCATCAGATCTCTCACACGTCATAGTTAAGGCCTTGACAAAGACCAGTGACAAAGTGTCCTGGCTTTGTAGGTTGATTGAAGTTAAGGTAAAGAGTTTGATTTTTCATAGTTAGCAAAAGGTGATTTGTTTTCAAGAATGTGTTAAGGTAAGCTTAACACAAAACATGTTGCACATTTAGATCAAATGGTTTAAAATAATGTTAACAGAGATGCATGTAAAGTCCTGCATCAGCCAAACAGGCAGTGAAACATTAATGGGGCAGATTAAAGTCCTTATAGTGTTTGCTGACATCTGCTGGTGTGTTTGAGTAATGCATTCGTGCATGTGTGTGTCTGTGTGTCGGCCCGGGTGTGTTAAATCACATGACTTGAGTTCTGCCTGGATACTGCTGCCGTCTCTGCAGAGAGTGACACATAAAAGCAGACGCACAGTTAGCTGTGCTGTGTGAGTTTGTGCTCTTAAAATTTGAGTTTAAAAGTGGCGAAACTGTCTTTGCTGGTTTTGGTGACTCGCAGTGTTAAAAGTTGTTAAAAGTACGCAGTCACATGCTTGTGTGATACCATTTCTTCTCCTGTTTTCAGCGCTGAGAGATTGGCTGAAGATTTAAAAGCTTCTGTTCCCAAAAAGTCCTCCGAGTCGACCAGTGAAGCCCCGGCACCAAAGGTAACGTGACTGCACGCTCACAGGTAATGACTACTGTTGTGCTTTACACTCACCAGCCACTTCTTTAGGCACAGCTTGCTAGTATCAGACTGGGGGATTTGAGTTCAGTGAACTCGTCATCAGGTTCATGAAGTCAGTCTGAAACTTTTGTGGTGTTGTGCGTTGTCCTGCTGACATGCTGTGGTCATGTGGGGATGGATGCGGTCAGCATACTGAGCCCCCACCACCACCATCACACAACCAACAGCCTGAACGTGTTGGATGCACCAAATTCTGATCCTACCATCTAAATATCATAAATGGAAACCTGCCAGACCAGGCAAGCTACATTTAGCATATGTAGCCTGAGTTTGCTGTTCTTAGCTGACTAGCATGGCACCCCATTCTGCTTCAGGCTTTAATCTGCTGTGTTCTGCATAAACTCTGCAAATGGCTGTGTGGGAAAAATTTCAGCTACGTTCAGAGTCACTTACATCACCTCCCGATGCTCATTTTGAACCTCAGCAGGTCGTCTTTCTCATCTACATGCCCAAATGCATAAAGTTGCTGCCATCTGATTGGTTCATTAGATATTTTCATTAACAAGCAGGTGAGGTGGGTTGTGAGTGCATATTGATTACTCTGTGAAAGTAGGTTCAGTCTTCAGTGTGATGTAATTGGTAACAATAGCAGGTCGTCCACTTGATCCCGGACTGCTCCAGTCTGATGCCAAAGTATCCTTGAGCAAGAAACTGAAGCGAGTTGTTCTGAGATGCATTCATCTGATTGTGAATGTGTGAATAAAACACTTTGCGTGAGTAGAGTTTATTTACCCTTCAATCTGTGCCTACGCAGCCCGGTGTTTGCGTGTGACTAACACAGGAAGTAGACGGTTTCTTTAGTGCCTGCGTGTGCTAATAAAGAGTGTTTGCATCACGCTGCAGGTTAAAGCAGAGGAGGTCGACCTGCAAAGCGCCGCCCCACTTTCTGACAACCTTATTGACTTCACTGATCCAGCTCCTGTGGTAAGAATTACTGCACTGTGTCCTGAATAATCTGCAGTGAAACTCCCACTGCATGTGTGTGGGTTAAAGTAGACCTTTAGCGTGGATGCTAACATTCTTCTGATGTTGTTGTAGCTCCCACCGGTGCAGCCGACCAAACCTCTCATCACACCGCGCTGGATCGTCCCCACAACCGCTGTGAGTTTATCAGCCTCACTTTTTAAAAGTTCACCTGTTTATGTTTTTTCCAGGTTTGGCTGTGAAATGTTAAAATGTTTTAGAAGCTGTTTTAACTGCATTCATTGTTCTGAACCACGAGGCTTTGGACTTCTCTGCACTTCCATAGTCGCTGTGCAGTTTGGCTAATGTAGAGGCGCTGTAGACACTGACCTCCGACCTTCTCCTTCACCCCCTTCTCACGCAGCCTCCCGGCGCCTTTACTAACGGCCTGCTCGACCTTGACCCCCCGCCTAAGGTCAACCCTCTTCTCCCTTCAGATGGGGGAGCATCCCTCACCTCAGCCCTCCCTCACCTCACTCACACACGTAACGCCGTCTCCACCCTCTCCACCAGGTAAAAGTGTTTGCATTTTGAACCCAAAGTTTGTTTTTTACATCGCAGCCGTCGCTGAAGAGCACGAAACGTCTCCTCCTCACTTCACTGAGCCTGAAGTTTCAGAAGAGAACATCCCTGAGAGTTTAACAGGAATCGTTAAGAGCATTTTGTTTGTGGAGGAAGAGACAGCAAAGCAAATTAGTTATTTTTCAGGTCCTTTATGCACAGCTTTTTCTTAGTTTTTTATGATTTTGTTTGTGAATGAATCAGTATTAAACAATCAGAAATGAAAAACAATACTGAACAGCAGAACTTGAACACATGCTTGAGCTGAAAGCAGGTGTTTCAGTGACAGCAAGTCAGAACATCACAAATCAAACTTTCTGTGAGGATCTCTGAGTTCAAGCAGACGTCTCATTCACGCCTCAGTTCTTCAAAAGTTGTGATTAGAAGAGTCTGAAGGATACGACTCTTTAACCTCGTGATGTGACGGTGTGTCTGGTTCTTTTATGTTTTCCTTACATCGAGCCAGATTTTTAAATCACCAAACTGAGCTCAAGATCACATTTGTGCTTTGTCACCTGTAAATAGCGATGGAGCTGGTTTCACTTTGTCAGACTCTAAAAACACGGCTGGACGTTTTAGCGTTTTCATGCAGGTCGAATGAGAAATTTATTGAAAAATAAAAGCTGCAGTCAGAAAAACCCAAAAAACCCACAGAAGGCAAATATACGGAAGAGGATTAGTGCCACCGAAAATTCTGTTGCAGAATTCTGAGAAAAAGTCAGAATTCTGACTTCAATTCTGGAAACGAAGAAGAAAAAAGACGTTTTTTTCCATACAAATAAAAGGACGAGTGATTTTTATTTTCTTTCTTTTGTTTTGTGTGTACAGTAGCTTAAATATATGTATTGGAGCCTTGCATTTTGTTTTCCATACAGGAAGTCATTTCTGATTCATAGGTTTATACATACAGGTTCGAGCCCCGGCTCGGACAGTCTCGGTCGTTGTGTCCTTGGGCGAGACACTTCACCCGTTGCCTACTGGTGGTGGTCAGAGGGCCCGGTGGCGCCAGTGTCCGGCAGCCTCGCCTCTGTCAGTGCGCCCCAGGGTGGCTTTGGCTACAATGTAGCTGCCATCACCAGTGTGTGAATGATGACTGGATGTGTAAAGCGCTTTGGGGCCCTTAGGGACGAGTAAAGCGCTGTACAAATACAGGCCATTTACCATCAAATCTGGGCTTTCAATGTCACTTTTTTTTCTCCAGTGTTTCGAAGCTCCTACGAGGTCGTAAGTGTGAGATATGGACGGTTTATAGAAGCCTGACTGCTAACCATGTGACCTTAACTTCTCGGCCATTTTGGACACACAACAATGTAAATTCAGTGCATAACATTTTATTTTACTGTTGATCGAACAAGGTAAAATTATAAAGCTATTATTAAGTTGTCGCAGGTTGTCAGACTGCAGCGTGTTCGCATTTTAGCAATTTCTTTCAAACTTACGACTCTTAAAACTGGTTCCTGCACACAAACGTTTTCTCTTTTCTGAGGCAGTAATTTGACCGTCTCTTCCACTCCTTCGTCCACAGCACTGTGGCTCAGCCGCCAGCCTCAGAGGATGGAGCCAAACCCAGAGGTCTCTTGACCACTGAGCTCTGATGAAGAAACGAGCGGCCGCCATCACGCTCTTCATCTTCCCGCCTGGTTTCCCGCTTCACCCGCTCACCCACCCGCACGCAGGCCGGCCGAGTCTGAAAACGCAAAAGAAGAGGCAGCTTGCAAACCGCCGCGACCACAACCGTAGCTACACAGATCAGCAATATGAAGTACTTTTTTTTTTTTTTAATGATCTCATGGCGTCGAGCTTAGTCTTTGTAAGATGGTGTATACAAACATTTTAGCCTCAGTATTAAGAAAACCTTATTTTTAATCTCCTGTTTGTGCACCACGTTAGTAACCTGCCATTACAGAGTCCATCCAGTCACCCAAAGCGCTGTCGGCAGCATCTCTGCCTGCTTTGAGACTCTGGTGGAAGCTCTCGCCCTGGTTCTGAGTTTAAGCACCGGCAGTGCAAACCGCTGGATCTCTGAGCTTTCCTCTGGGAAGCTGCTGAACGACACTGGATGATGGACGCACGAGATATGAAGAGCTTGAAGTGTTTGAATATAAGAGATCACGCAGTGCAGCGCGTTTAAACCCGCTAACGCTACATGATGTAGCCACTGGATCTGGAAACGTCACTGGATTACCTTCAAACACTGGACCTTCAGCTGATTTTTATTTTTTCCCACATTAGATGATGATGATGATGTTTTTAGTTTTTCAGCTGATTTTTTTATTTTATGATCCTGTTCCTGCTCTTTGTAGCTGTCGATGCTTTTAAATGCCCGCCCCCCCCCCCCCCGCCCCACCACCACCACCACCATCATGAGGACTTCCTGTTTTGATTCCGATCACATCTTATAATGTAAATTTGAATCCACACTTTTACCCCACTCTCGTTCCTGCTCACTCATCATTAAACTTTTAGCTCCTGTGATCGCTGGACTGCGTGGTGGGAGATGTGTCCGGGTATCTGACTGGATTGGACTCTCCAACATGTCGTAGCTGTTACTTTGCCTTATGTACATGAATGTGCTCTACGTGTCTGATGGGGAAATGCTGGAGATGCCACTCGCACGTCACCTTTGCTGGAATCGTTTAACCTGTGAAATATCCTGAAAGCTGGTTTTGTATGAGAGCGAGGTGAGGCCTACGTCGGCACCGTGGGAGTTATTAAATATCTTACTTTGACCCTCGAATGGTAGAGTTGTAGTATCTCACTGTTACTGTAACCACCACGTCTGGCCACTCACTCAGGTTGTGGCTCTGTAGTACTTCTCATTATGTCTTCAACAAGGGAAGCCGGCTGTTCTTCGATGTCGTCTTAGCAGCGTTTACGCCTCAGCTCAGTGTCATTGTTCAGATATTACATGTTGTAGCATACAGGTTTAACGTTTTCACTGTAACTGCTTCAGCTGCTGTTGATATGAAGTAGACGTATATTTTTTAAGACTACCTTGGCAGTATAGTTACTACTCTGAGGAGACTTGAGGTGTTTTCTAATTACAGAGGAAGTATTACAGATCAGACTGTGAAGTCTCATTTTTATATAAACTCGTATTTTTCTGGAACACCTGATCATGATTCAGTAAAGTTTTGCCACAGTAGGAGTCGTTGTCTCTCATTCATTTTAAAACTGCGGTGAGTGTAATAATCACATCACACGCTTATGTTCCTTTTGAAATACACTTATTATGTAATTCTTTTCCTACTTTTTACTTTTACTCCCTGCATGTTTAAACAAATATCTAATTCCTGCACATTACATTTTCAAAACTCGTTACTTTCGCTTTAACGTTGTTGAGCCAAGATCCTCCTGTAAGTTTACTGTTTAAAGAGCTAAAACCTCCAAAGTTTCAGGAGTAATAAGTCATCATAAGAACTAAAAATGAAGAATGTGGGACACTGTTTGTTTGGGATTTTGAGCCCAGTGCACACCTCTGAGTGTTAAATTAACACTTTGACAGTGTTATATGTTTAAAAGTAACCTAGTCAGTTTTGAAGATTAACAAAGTCTAACACTGAGCAGTGCTGATTTTCTAACACTGGAATATTTCTAACATTTTGAGTTATTTTCCAGTGTTAGAAAATCAGCACTGCTCAGTGTTAGTCTTTGTTAATCTTCAAAACTGACTAGGTTACTTTTAAACATTTAACACTGTCAAAGTGTTAATTTAACACTCAACAGTGTTGTATTTAACACTCAGAGGTGTGCACTCATATAAATACTCTCCAGTGTTAATTTAACGCTGGAGATTTTGCTGTGTACCACTTAAAATTACTTACGTTGACGTGAATTATAATTAATATGTATGTATTCTTTTTGTTTCCTGTAAAAACCCGACTCCCTACCCTCGTATTCTAGTGTACCTACCTTTAAGTATTTGTAGTAAAATATAATTGCGCTGAAATTTCAAATACATTGAAATTGCATGTTCTTACAGGGGAATTACGTTTGTACCGACTGTCAAATTAACTATTTAATAAAGTCCACTAGTCAAATGGCAAAGTTGACGTAGGTGAATGAAGCGGTCCGTTTCATAACCAGAGCTGCAACAGCGCCGTCAGTAATGTAGTCCATGTTTTCTACCACTAGATGGCAGACGAGTACCGTTGTTACTCTCGATGCAGTCCAGCGTTGAGCAGAGCTCCACCTTCCATCACTTCACAGATGGCTTCATGCAGAACTGCAAATATCAAACTCATGAAGTCATTAAAGAGCTGAGCCTGCATTTGAGTCCTCGTCTCTGAGCGTGAACAAGGCAAAAGAAAAAAGACTGCATCCTGGCACATAATGATCTATTTCAGCCAACACGGTCTATCTGAAATGACAGCCATGGCACGCAAAGCACTGACTTTAGCTTATAACACTGAAACCTTTATTTAGTATACTTTAAATCAGGGGTGCCCAATCCCGGTCCTCGAGAGCTACCGTCCTGCAGCTTTTAGATGCATCCCTACTCCAACACAGCTGAATCAAATGAATGGCTTGTTATCAGGCCTTTGCCAAACACGATGGCATGCTGAAGAGGTAACCAAACCATTTGATTCAGCTGTGTTGGAGTAGGGATGCATCTAAAAGCTGCAGGACGGTAGCTCTCGAGGACCGGGATTGGGCACCCCTGCTTTAAATGAAATAACTTGTACCTGTTCATCTACCTATTCATGCAAATATCAAATAGGCCAATTGCAGGGCAGGCTCTCGATGCATTTCAGCATGACCAGGAAGACCTGCTGAACGCCAAACCGAGCATCAGAATAAGGAGGAAAGCTGAATTTGGACGAGGCGTGGTGGTTGCTGGTCTGAGTTTTTCAGAAACTGTGGATCTCTTGGCATTTTTCAACACAACCATCGCTTTAGTTTCTAATAAGCACTCATTACAATCAAGGTATGCCAAAGAGGTCGAGTCTTGACAGCCTGGTCTGATGAGTCTCTGCCTTTTCTGCTGAGGGCGTATTTTTTCTTTAAAAGTCGATGTTTTCTCCTTTTTTATCCTCTTTCAGAGTCTTAACACAGGCCAGTAGGTCCAGTAGTAGCAGAGGGTGGACCTGTTGACTGCTCTTTACTATTGTTAACCTCTAGGGCGCAGTGTAGCTCCAACGAAGATCCAGGGAACTCGGTGGTTTTTAATCAACACATGGAGTTATAATTCCATCTGATGTGTAGTAATAAAAATATTTAAAGAATCTGAACAGAGTGATCAGAGACTGAAACTGGGATTCCAGTGGATCTCGCCCCCTGGATATACTCTGCCATGTCTATAAATCACATCTCTGTGTTCAAGATTAGTGTTTGATTTGCTGTTAATCAGATTTCATATGAGTGATGTCTGTATGAGGAACACAGGAGTCATTTGTGACAGTGTGCTTGTATCAGGAGTGAGCTCCTTTCCCCCCCCTAGAAGTAGAAGTCGTCCCTTTTTGATGAAGTGGTGCATCATCTCTCCAGTTGCTTCATTATCAGAAACAAAACATCAACATCCTTCAAGGCACGATAAACAAGCTGCAGCGTGCTTATTCTGGAGCCGTGCTCGGTGGCTTTAGCCAAACATTTAATGCAAAGTAAAATAAAAATAAAGTCTTCAGCGAGTGTTAAAATGAAAGCAGAGCCTGCTGATATTTGCGAATAGCCATATTGGTTTACATTGGTGACTGGTCTGGCTGCAGAGCAACACATAGTTGGATCATTATGAAGAGGCAGAGCGGCCTACAGCTCAATAACTCAGCCAGGACTGCTCCCCTCAGCAGATGGGCCGACTTTCCACACCTTCCAAATGAATAATTGATTACGTACACGGACCTTATGCCAGGTCATGATTGCTTAAGCATGCTCAAAGCTCTGGGTTGATTCATGCAGATTTGGCTAACAGCCCGTGCCCTGATGTCACCAAGCAGACATTACATGGCTTCTCTTAAATTTTAATGGTCTTTGAGGCCGGCTATCAGAACTGTTGGGTGAATACCAAATGCATTTAGAAACTCAGCCTTGTTTAGAGTTTGGGTTTTGGTCTGATAAGGATGTGTTAGAGCCAGGTTTAGAGGACATAACTGCATAGTTCTTCACAAAAAATAACCAAAAAAGTAAAATGTCAGGTGTTTGTTATAGTAAGTTATTTGTTATTCACTTCCACAAGAAGAGGTGCTAGAAAGAGGAAGTGATTTGTGACAGAAAGAGGCTCCAAAATGTGACCTGTCACTTTTTTCTTTTAATATCAACACTTTGTGGAAGCTACTTTGGATTTTTATATATGTTAGTTTTCTGATGACCGTTTGAAGACGGAGCAACAACATCTGTTCAAATCTTAAGCTTGATACGAATATCTGACTCATGTCAAAAAAATATGAGTTTTAGATCGAGCATCACGAGTCATGGCGACAAAAACGTCGGCAGTGGCTGACGCGCCGAAAGAAATGAAAACCAAGAGAAACTCGCCATCACGGGTATTTCTCAGACACTTGTAAACCAATGTTGGACAAATTTATGAAACTGTATTTGTCAAAATCTTCACAGAGGACGAGATTTTCAACATTTCATATTATTTTTATTTGTACACAAAAGAATTATGTTTGTGTTTGTATGTGCGCAGATTAACATGTATATCAGGATAATGTTTGTCCCTTTTCCTTTTCTTTTGACTGCATCTCATTAACCAACTGTCTCTCCTGTCATTTACAGCCTGTCCTGTTATTTTGTAAGCCTTTGTCTTAAGCTATTGTTCCTTTGTTAAAAATGTTTAAAAAAAGACTTGAGAAGAAGAACTGTTGATGCTCACAAAGCAGGAGATGGATGTACAAGTTATCACAGAGTTTCCAAGTGTCAAGAACTGGAGTGAGAAGACTCATCAGTCACACAGTGCAAAACAAGCCTGGCACAGGTCGGAGCAAAAGATTTCAAAAACTGGAAAGAAACCTGGACCCCAACAACCCCAAACAACTGCCAATCACTCAAAGAAGCCCAACACTAGAACGCTGCACAGACTGGACTACGAGGCTGCAGACCAAGAAAAACTCCACTTCTGCAGAAGAGACACCTTCAAGCCAGCCTGTAGCATGCTGAGGACAACCTGGAGAAAGATGATGCAGACTGGAAGCAGATGACATGAAACCAGAGCTCTTTGGCCACAGAAATGATGCGTATGTTTGGAGAAAGAAGGGCGAGGCATACAGCCCAAAGCCACCGTCCCCACGGTGAAGCACGGTGGTGGCAGTATTATGTGTCTGGACGTCGGAATCCCGACGAGGTGGAAAGAAGACGTGAAGATTTTAAAAGAAAACCTCAAGCAGTCAACAGAAAAATCAGAGTCGGGGTCATCGCGTTGCCTTGCAACATGACAACGACCTCAAGAAACCAAAGTGACCGACTCTCCTGCTACAGAGTTGGTAACGTCCTGACTAGAATCCCACTCAAAATCTGAAGTGAACTGAAGACCAAGGTCCATGCTGGAAACCATCAAATCTGGAGGAGCGCGAGATTCTCCGAAGAAGTCTGAGCCGGGATTCCTCAGGAGACGCATGCGAGACGTGTTGGAAACTACAGCAGTCGACTGCAGCTGTTAGCATCAGTCGACTAATAATTTTGAGCCCTGAAGTTTTTGTGAAATAATTTTGTTTCTGTGTGTAAAGTAAAATTATGTAAGCATCCAAAATAAAACCAGGATTTGGGGGAAAGCTGTAACAAAAATTCCGACTGTTTAACGACACTTGGGAAATACTTTTTATGAAATTTGAAATTGAATTTTCACAGGGGGGCTAATAACTCTGTCCTCATCTGCACATGCTGATGAGCCCCCTGCTTTTTGCCATCTTCTTTCAAGCTAATCCATAAAAGTTTTTGCAATGTCTTGTGTCACGAGACAGGGAGGCCAGCAGCTCAGCCATCGATGGGTGGTTGTGCAAGGTCCGTAGCAATGTTTCTGCTGTCTGTTACATGTCACAGTAAGATCCAGGTAAGATTTCCCAACAGAGTGTTTTCAATGGTGCGGCTCAAAGAGAAACAGGAAAAAGTTTATGGATTCATGGATGGAGTGGCAGCTCTCCACCACTTCATTTAAACTTCCTCTCCAAGCAAACCTGAGTTGTGTCCATAGAGTTTGAGAGAAAAAAGGAT